CACACCGGCCCAGCTTTTATCTTACGAACATGCCACACACCCGCCGAACATCGTACGATTCTCGGCAGGTTTTGGAACATGTCCGTAAGATAAGTCATGCGACCGTAGAGTAGTAGAGGTCGCACAGCTTCCACGCACCTTACGATAATCGTACGATCGTGGCATTTCCTGCGATTATCGCAAGGTGTGTGGGCACCTTTACCCAATAGTAATGACTTCCTGCTTCCCAGAACAGACTTGAAGGTAGTTTTCAGTTCGTTATTATGCTGCAATCAAGTCTAAGTCATTGTAGCGGTGCTTTTTCCTCTGGCCTCTGAGGTGGGGCACGCTGAGCGGGCAGTGAATGGGCTTAAAAACATTCAAAAATGTGCCGATGGGAGAAGAAAAAAAAAGTGAATGATAAACCCAGATGATCCAAATGTAACACCAGAGAGCTCAGCAACTATAAGCAGGAATGCCATCAGGTAGATGAATACCAGCACACAGGACAGGAAACCCCATTCATCTTCTTATAACAGAACAGCAAAGTCTTTTTTCAGATTTTATTGAACAAGAGACAAGAAAATATTTACTTCAGTTCTTTCACTGACAGACCTGCAAAACAAAGGAGGGACAAAAGTGCATTAGAAACATGTCTGCTAGTCTCCCTACCCCCCCCCCCCCCCCCGTCAAAAACAATTTTTAACATAAGTCGCTTATACACAGTTTTGCTATAGGAGCAGACAAACTGGAGCAGCTGAGCACGGCAACCAATCAGCTTCTCTTTAGTTCAGATTTAAAAATTAAAGAAGCCGATTGGTTGAATTGCACAACTGCTCCTGATTGATAAATTCCCTTCTTAGGGTTCTGTTGTGGAGCTCGGCTTTAATGGCATTTCTAGATAGAGGAGATACTAATGTAGATCGGTGTTGGATTTCTATGGGCCACTAGACATGTGCGGTGGTGTGTCTAAGACCAAGTTCACCTTTTGGACCATGTTTTATGTTACACCCATATCCAGAGTGACATTACACACGGTCATATTCCCCCCCCCCATAGCTTGAATCCCGGGGTTCCTCTACTCACAGGCTGCTGTGCATCTTACATTTGGCCTGGCTGTGCAAGTCCCATCAGCCACCACAGCAGAGGGACTTTCAGTTCCCAAAGGAACACAAGTGTGGTGATGTTATGGCACTTGTCAATTCATTTTTCCTTCCGTCCATATTACTGAATGTCTGTAGCACTCTATGAACGTAAGGAAGAGTCTGTAGGAGACGCAGCATTGCTCCAGCGATCTACTGATAGTGGGCGCAATGTTTTACTGGCACTGATGCAAAAAAAGATTGCACTTTTTTTTATGTAGGCGTTCACAATGATCATTCTCAAAGTGGACTTTCCCTTTAAATAAATGTATTTAACCTGTCAGGTGGCTTGGACTTTATATGCAGATCGGAGCTCATCTCCTTAGACCTGCATAAGAATAAAACTACAACATGTAACAATAATGTGACTTTGTATCTGTGAGTGACATTACTGAACAGCGTCTACACACATTGATAAGAACTGCTAGAGCCATCAGCTGTATTAACACAGCAAGCCCATTATAACACGGCATACATCGTTCTTTAGCTTTATGCTATGTATAGCATGTACTGTATATAGGTGGGCTTCGTAACGCACTGGACTCAGGGCTTACCCGAGACCCCCACCTGAGAGTGACCCTGCAGAGCACAGCATAGACCCTGCACTGCCGCATATTTCACCGGAGGGGGGTTCCCAGACCGGACCTCACTGGGCCCCCCCACAACCTCAGGCCCTGGTGATAGATCCACAGGGACAGGGAGCCACAGCAGAGAGATGAAACAGCCACATGCGGCTCCGGAGCCGCAGGTTGCTGACCCCTGCCTTAGGGTAACGGGAGGACACAAACTAGCGTCCTCCCATCACCCTAGGCTCAGTATACCGCGAGCTGTAGTCAGAACTATGAGGTGAGTGAAAAGCCCCCCCCACCCTCATAGTTCTCCTTTAAGTTCCTCCTGAATAGGTGAACACTTACATTTGGCATCCTTCCTTCTGGCTGTGAGGAGGAAGTCTTTGATCTCTTCGATTTTGCGAGGCTGAAAGGCAAACAGAACACTTTAATATCAAGATGGCCAATACACAGCAAGCCGGTCAAACATGACATCCCTGTACACACGGGACGGGGCAAGACGTGTTGGTCTGTTATCTGTAAGTAGGGCTGCGGCAAGTCGCTATACCGTTGTCACTGTGCACCCGACCCCGGTGCTGTACAGACTGCTGAAGTCTCCAGAGCATTGCCTGTGTATACGTGCCCCCCCATCAGCCAATCCTTCCACTATGTGGTCAGAGCATCTTAGAGAGGCTCCCCAGGGGACTGGCCATACAAATGGGGGGGGCCTCCCAGACCCAGGAATAAAAAAGGTATTCCCCCCCCCCCCTTGGTGTGCAGGAAGACCCCTCTGCAAGGTTATTCGTTGCCATGTGAGAACTCCCTCTATATACCCGTCCCGGGTCAGACTTGACTAGTACCCAACATTCTCATAGGAGTTTATTAATGGCCGCCTCCATTTTGGTCTCATGACAGTGTCCCTCTAAAGCAGCCCATGCTAATGAAGGTTTCTGTAAGCTACAATGCAGGCGTGTTGCCCTAGTGGCGAACCTTGGCACTCCAGCTGTGCCAAAACTACAAATCCCAACATGCATCTGCCTCTGGGAGTTATGTCTGTGGCTGTCAGAGCCTTGCAATGCCTCATGGGACTTGTAGTTCCAAAACAGCTGGAGTGCCAGGGTTCGCCACCACTGCGCCTAGTGCATGGGGTGTCACCAAATGGCACGGGTGTGAATGAGCCACAAGTCAGGAGTTGTCACCTACATCATCTTCCCGGTTATAGAGAGCCACACCTGTGGCCCCTGAGATCCCCAAGCAGCCACATAACCAATATATACAATGCTATAGTGGACTGTCAGAGCCCTGGAGGCGGCCAGAGACCGCAGACCTCACACGGATGAAGGCTGGAGATATGAAGCAGGAGACTGTTCTAGACCGGGGACATGTTACATGAGACGGTTAGGCTGGGTTTACACTGTCCCGTGTGCATGCAGCACATATAATAGACGCACATGGGGATGCGCATGGGCCCACAGAGCCTCCCTACCACACTAAACTGTAGTACATAGATGTAGAGCAGCCACATAGCAATGAATGGGATACCTACTTTACATGCTGCATCAGAACAAGTGTAAACAGATTACAGCTCATTTACTAGCTGGCCCCCAAGGGCCACACCACAAGAAGAAAAGATCTCCATGCAGCCCTGGGGGCCACAGGTTGGGTATACATGAAAACAAGACAACACAGGGGGCGGGGTGATAAGCTGCAGGTTAGCACAACAGCTTATATCAGGAGGACATAGACTCGGGACACACACACTATAGCGAAAAGGGAGGGTGACAGGTTCTCTTTAATGACACGTGACCACAGAAGCCGGGCCTGTGCAGAGTACTCACCATGGCTGCAGCGCTGTATCCGGGACCTGCGGGACAGACACACAACAGTTACTCCTCTACAGACACCCGATCCACCCACAAATATCACCCCGACCGGTTCCCGCCGCCCCTCACCCGACCTCCCAGCACACTCCACCACCTCTGGGCGAAGGGCAACACGGAGGATGGCAGAGGATTACCCGCCTCGGTCACTCACCGGCTACGTCGCCAGAAGGGTAGAAAGGAGCGTCACTTCCGGATTCTCAGACTTAAAGCCGGAAACGGCGGCCGACGGAGGCCAAACTTAGTGTGATCGCGAGTAGATGGGAGGAGGGCCGCGCGCGCATCAAAAGCTGATCCGGAGCTCCTGTTGCTCATTTACGACATTCCTCATCAGCATCTCACATGGGTACGATACCCATGTGAGATGCTGATGAGGAATGTCGTAAATGAGCAACAGGAGCTCCGAATCAGTTTTTGGGGGACAGTTTAGAGGAATGGAAATTATTGTTATTTATTTATTTGCTATTTAGCTTCTGCAAAGGAGATGGCTGGTAATTCTGTTAGCTGTATATGAAATATATTTCAAGTGGAAATACAACTTCCTATTCCTTACAGCCAAGGAAGGCGCCATCTTAGCCCGTATTGGATTGCTGTTGCCATGGTGTTGCCACGGCGCTGCACATGTGATCAGCTATGACACCAGCCAGTCCAGGGCTTGAAAGTTAGGTTGAGAGCTGAAGTGAACACAGTGACAACCCTGTCAGCCGTTGTGCCTTAAATGTATCTGTTTTGGGAGACATTACATTGGTATGTAGAGTTCCTCATTGTGTGAAGTGTCCTCCCCGTTACCTCCATGTTACCATTAATAATTGTCAGTGTTTTGCCCGATAGACTCACATGTCCCATAATTTCACACAGGCCTGGCCCCGCTGTCATAGAGATTTGGCTGCTCCCCCCCAAACCTTCATCACCCGAGCCAGGAGTACGCAAAGCAAAAGGTCTTCACAAAAAATTAGGTGAACTATCTCACAACACCCTCCCCGGCTAGTCCCCGCTGCCAGTGGTGTATTTTGGTTTTGTGCTGCCCTAGGCAAGACTAAACGCAGGCACCCCCCTCAATCTAAAGTATACATTGCAGTCCACAGCCTGCTTCTGGGACATCCCTTCATCAGATCACATGCTATGGCCAGCCCCGAGCCACCCCGCTGCTTCTCCACCTCCTGTACAAAACCAGCTGGACCACAACTCACTGGGCCCTCCCCTCCACCAAGCAGCTCTCTAATTAGGAAACCGTTCTTAGGGCCTTGCGGCCTCTTAATTTCCCTCTTTAGGCAGTCGCCGCTGCCTGATTCTGTGCCGTCCAGCCTCGCCCCACTGACAAGTCTGGCCCTGTCCGCGTAATTGGTTTGGGGTGCTGTTTTCTGCTGCCCACCCTGGAAAGTGCCGCCCTAGACAAATGCCTAGTTTGCCTTGCAGTAGATACACCCCTCCCCGCTGCACTGATGACCAATACCCATTGCTCACACCAGCCTGTATAATGGTATAATGGTCTCCACCCTTGAGATCTTCCCCGCACTGTCCTGGAGGTTGTATAATTCTTGCAATAGGAAGCGGTCATTGGTCAGCAAAGTCACGCGACCGCGCCGACCAATGAGAATCTCTGGGATGGCACAATCTGCCCGGCGCAATTGGGTTGCCAGTGGAAAATGATGGAACCCAGCCTCAATTTATATACAATGTATACAGCGCTGTGCCCGCAATGCTTCACGACGCAGCAAAAACAATGCAGCAAGCCATGTTCGGGAGGCAGTGCCACCTGCCAAAAGCGACCGTAGAGGTGAATGCCACTTCCTGTCTACATGCGCTCGCTCCAGCGTCAGCAATTTCCTGCTTTGTTTTCTGGGGGGGGGGGCGG